TCTAATCTTCGAAGGTTATTCTCGGAGGCGTGGGTTTACTTTCTTCGCATCTGTTAATTAATTGCTCGTGTTCAATCAGCTGGTATGAATGACAATTTTGAATCAAGGGATTTTGGATTCGTGTCATGGCAGGATTCTCGAAGATTGGGTGTTTACTCATTAACTAAGGCTATCGACCGGCGTAATTGTATCCTGGACCGATTGATAGACGGCTCTTTCGTCATTCGGGAAATGAACATGGATATACTTTCCGCTTTCATTAACATTGCTACTTGAGTGACTGAAGTAATTAAATAATTGGACGACACGTTCTGTAGACAGTGTCATTGGAAGTAAAGGTAATCCTTTTTTTTTTTTTTAATTGTAGTAAAAACTATTATAATCAAAATTTGCTTGCTAGAGATTTTGTGTTTATAAACGTTAACTTTTTACAACATATTTTTTGCAAAAACCTGACCTGTTGGTCGTCTATGTAGACAAAGTCAACTAATTGTACGGTAACAGGTTTGTAAAATGTAACAAGCAAGCTCTGTTTATTTTTTTATTACGGGTATTGAAAATACAGTTTTTTTTTTATAAAAAAAAAGATTTTGTTAATACCAGTAGTAAAAAAATCAATAAATGATGTTTGTCATTGAAACTCGTATATAAACCAGCTCATATTTAAAAATTACCAAAATTTCGTGATAATTATTTGAATTTCTCAACATTTTTTAAAAACACATGGAGACTTTTACGTACAAAACTTGTTTTATTCAGTTTTCAAGTCTTCATTTTTATTTTAAATGAGTTATTTTGTAAAGTACACCATTAAAAAATGTTCCAATACCGTGAAAGGTTTTTTTTTTCTCCAAAATTAATTTTGATCGCCCCCCCAAAACCACCAAGCTGAAATTTTAAAATACCAACTGCGTAAAAAGCTAGGCCCAATCTTTCAACAACCCCCTCTCCTCCACGACTCCTTTATCAATTCAATTTCATGCGCACACCCTCTGGCCCTCGACTACTTTTTCACCTGTACATCCCCCACACGTCTCACCTCCGACGGCAATCACCTAAGTGGTGTACAGGCACCGTCGCAAGCTCATCCCTGCAACAAGCAAAGACGAGAAGAGAAGGGAGCGCGAGCTCAAAAAAAAAAAAAAAAAAAAAAAATTAGATGCTTACAAAGGTGTACAAGGGCACGGGATGGAAGACGCGAATCAAAGAGAACCCACTGCAGTGGGAAAAAAAAAAAAAAAAAAAAAAAAAAGAAGCGAAACGCACAGAGGAGATAAAGAGAGGAAAAGGTCGCTCGGCTCTTAGCGCGTTGTTTTTAATTGCGAGCTGGGCGACGACGCGTCGGATTTAATGAAGGCCAAGGGAATTGCAAGCGGAGCAGAGGTGATATAAGATTTCTCGGAGCACGTTTCTCTTTTGCCCCACCGCGGTATTTTTTTTTTCAACTCGCGCACACGAGGACTCTCACAATTTATTTTTAGCCAAATCTTTGACGTTGAAAATTTTTTCCCTTTTATTTGCACAAAGCTTTTTTCCCACTTTTTAATGTTTACCCTTAGCAAAACGCGCGTTGTCACGTCGTTTGCGATTAATTTTCATCCCAAGAAGCACGTTTTCAATTACATTTAAATAATTATTTCCCGGTAGCGGCAAATTTTCATACTTCACGTTTATTAACGAAAATAACTACGTGTACACTGCCGTCCGTGAAAAGCATGTGCTGCTAAAAACCTTTAATTTCAATACTTTAATTAAAAAAATTCTTTACCATCCCATCTGATGGGATTAAATCGAGGGTGGAAATGGAGCCTCGTTTAATTGATTTACAACTATTTCAGTTATTAAAGGCAGTACGAGGCCTTTATTAACGTATAGTAACTGTTCGGCGAGCGTTTGGTGGTGTAATAAGGGGGCAAAAAAAAAAAAAAAAAAAAAAAGTAAAACTCGCAGCGAACTGTATGACGGCTATTTCAATTTTCTGATCCAGATATTAAAACCTCAAAGTAAATCCCTGGTGTTATAGAGCCACGTGATACGCGTATACAATATCGGCTCGTAAATTCATAAGCGTAAGCTCGGAATTCTTTGTGCTTTGGCCGCAATTTTAGTTTTTTTTTTTTTCTTTTTTTTTTCTCGTATCGCTACTGTTTTCAAAGTAAATTTCTTTACGACGAAAAATAGTCAAGTTATATTGTATATACGTGATTAAATTTTTCAGCTTGGATGGTTGAATAAATATTTTTGCTCGAGTAAAATTTACTTTTCCCGCCCAAAGGGCCTTCATACTATGAAACAAAGTCGAAATTGGGGCATAAAAATGTAACCAGTGAAAGCTCGTTTGAATATCGTTGATTTCGCAACTTTGCTTGGAATTTTTTCAACAACAATTCGCCAATAGTATTGGTATTACTTTGCACGATTTGCCAAAAGTCCCATACAATTGGCTTTACTTAAATAAACCGATACCAACCAGACGAAGCATCCATCCTCGAAAGTAATTCTTCGCAAATCTTAAAAAAAATCTACAAAACGCCAAACCGACACCGACCCAAGCCCCTAAAAGTGCAGCATCCATTTTTTTCTCTCGCACTCACCGTAAACATAATATCGAAGCCTCCATTCAATCTTGGAGCAGTTGCACGCGCGCGTGCGGTCAAGCCGCGATACACAGTACCAGCAGCCCCAACAGCAACGACGACAACAGCATCAGCTGCGCACGGAATCCACTCGGACAAATGACCCCGAGCTTCCATCGCAATTCTCATTAATTACGAACCTGCAGCCACAACCACTGGCCATCGTCGGGGGCGCCCATGACGCGGTATGCCCCGTTCGATTCGTATCGGCGGAGAAGCAGCAGCAATAATAGCAGAAGGCGGAAGCACCCCATGAGCTATATATACACACACACGCGCGCGCGCGTACATTGAACCGCGCCCATGCACAGTAGCGCGGGCACCGCCAATTGCGATTATCCCCGCTCGGCTCCGTGGATTTGTATGACAATGAGGCCACCCGGCCACCCATCGCATTTTCAATTGATACACACCCTGGCTTCTTCACGTGCCCACCCGTAGGTATATATATGTCTTGGGCCCTCGTCCGTCATGCTGCATACGTATACATGCATGGGTTGTCGGGTGGTACAGGGGGCAGAAATTGGCCGGCTTTGTGCACATTGGCAACGAAGCTGACCACCGAATAAAGGACACTCGGGGGAGGCCGTTACCCCTCCGGTACACCAGTGTTGGGTACCCAAAAATCCAAGGGGTTAAAGTAAGCCCCGAAATCACCCTTCGGCGGGTTGAGCGTAGTCGTCCATTAGCTCCCGATTGTTTGGACCTCGGCACATCATCGAAAACGGGGGGATGGAAGCGCGTCACCCCAACGCGTGTGTTTTTCCCATCCTTCGGGGCACTTGTGAGTTGTGATCGGTGACCCTTTGAGCTCTCTTTGACTTTGGCACTCTCTTATCGACCAAAGGTGAATTACAAGAGGTAGTAATAACACGCGTCTCTGCGTTAGTTGTGCTCGGCAAATCGACAGCGGTGATCAAACATAAATGCACAGCCGACGCTCGAGGGACGGTCCGATAGTCTGAACGCCCTTAACCTTTCGATTGAGCCCCTCCTCTCCTGCCGGTAGTTGCTCTCTTTGCCCCGTTCACCGGGTATGGGTACACTTCCCTCGGAAATATACGATTTCGGGCTCATGCAAGTCGGGACAGGCTATAGAGGAGCCGTGGCTTTGGTTAATTATAAGTTAGGCGGAAAGTTCTCGTCTCTCCTCGAGAGAAATTGAGAGGAGACACACTCTTGCCGAAGGAAAAGTTAATTTATAGGGTCTCTCGACGAGGAGGAGCCGGAGAAAAGGGAGTCTTGAGAGAGGGAGACGCGGTGCATATTACATAGCACGGCAAGAGACGCGTGCGCGACAATGGCGCGACGCCAAGTTTTCCCCGAGTTTGGCGGGCTGATTTTGATAACAGAGAGGGAGTGGGGCCGGATAAAAGGGGGTAATGAGCGCATTGTTCCGCCACGGGGGGGGAGCCTATTGTGAGGCAGCCGAGAGATTTTACGATTATGAATAAACAATCGGGCCGGCCGTGTGAAGACGATGAGATTTGAGATTATACCTGATGGGGTTGTGATGCGTGATGATGCATGTAATGAAGAATTAAAAAAAAAAATTCTAACAAACAAAGCACACGTATAAAATAAATTAATCTGTACGCTTGCGAGTCCACTTATAATTTTCTCGGTTATGAAAAATTGAATGAATCAGTTTAATAGCTCTTCTAATTATTTTAATGATTATCAGAATAGTATTTACTTGAAAATATTATAGGTTGCACTATAAGCATGTAAATAGAGAGGATAAATTATATCGTAGTGTAAAAGAATCAAAATCAACTCGTCTACGACAACAACTACGATAACATCTAAGGTGAGATAAACGTGGGTGATCCCAACCCATTGGGGAACACACGTGTAGGTAAAGGCGTGAATTCGCGTGCGTGTGAGAGAGTACGAGCGTGCACGCAGAGAGTAATCCGACAAGTGGAGTATAGGTACGACCCGACCGGTTGTGTGTTCCTTGGGCGGGCGACCGCTTAGCCGCAACAGTCGAAGCGAGTACGCGTTACAATGTCTCAGGCGCAATTGAGCTCTGGGGGTAATTTCGATAGACGACACTTCCATTCGTGTTTGTCGTGAGTTCTGATTTTAGCTCGTCAGGGTGATATGAGTGATTTGAAGAAGGTTTCTACCATTTATCACAAAAAAAAAAAAATAACTACGCATGAACCATCCGTTTTTGGTGTAAAATATATTTTCAATCTGATGTATGGATGAGTGCAAACTTTTTTTTTTTTTTTCTTCAAACGTAGCCCCTTCTTTTTGTAGAACTTAATCGTCGAAGCTTCCGATACTCGAAAGAAATTAAATTAGTTATACAGTATAAACATTTTTCCAAGTATAGGTATGAGGGTTAATCGTTACCTCAAATAATTTTGCACGTGTTCACATCCCTGTTTGTGTCTTGAAGAGAAGTTGAGAGATGGCTCGACATCTATTTCTAAGCACGAATCAGCAGATCACCGTTTGCCTGAAACAAAATTTTTTTCTTATTTTTTATACATTTTTTTATCATTACTTTGATTTTTTTTTTTTTTCTTTTTACAAACGTTTCACAACTCTCTATAAAAAGCTTTACAACATTGATAAAAATAAAAAAAAAAAACTATAAATCAGTCCAATGTTGGTGTGTGCACGTGTGCCATGGTATGTAACAATTCAAACAAATAAGCAGATCAAGTAAATTTTTAAAATTATTGTAGCAAATAAAGGTCGTAAAAACACCGTTCTGCATTCAAATGGGTGATGGAAAAAGCGCCCAACAGCAAAAAAAAATCCCAAAATACTCCACACTGAGAGCCCAGCGGAGCGCGCAATCGTAATTTCTACGAGTACACTCCCACGCGCGTTTTACAGCTTTTCCCCGTCCCCCTTCGTAACTAAAGCGTGTTTCGCGTAGCATCCATCCCTCATATTCCAAAGGACACATGCTGGAACAGCAGCTAACCGGTCCCGCGAATTCCAATTTGCAGGAGCGTGACGTGTATACCGTATACGCGGTGTATTGTACACACCGAATGCGCGCGCCAAGGGTACGCGGGAGGGGGGGGGGTGTGTGGAAATATAACGGAGATTGATTGATTGCGTTGTATTTATGCCGAGTATTGGAGCACTGGCATCGTAATGCGTATACGGGGGGAGCCGTTTAATTAATTATACATCGCCGGGCATTACGCGCTTTTCAGGAGACACGTCCCGTGTAAAGGCCCCGTCTCTCCCTCTCTCTGTGTCCATACGGATGTCGGGTGCAAGTACACCTATTTCACCCGAAACATCGGACAGCATGGACCAGCCGTTTCTCTTGGCATAGAGATCTTATTTTGAATTCGAGTCACCCTTGAAAATAGATGTGTACTCTCCTTCTAAATAAGGGGCATCTCGGGTCATTTAGCCTTTTTGCGTTGTTCTTTTTTTCTGTTCTACGCTGTACCGTTTGATCACAGATCGATCTCGTCACTCCAGAAGGACTTTTTCCAGGTCTTGTGCCAATGCGCAGAAAATTCGAGCCCTCTGAAAACTCGCACAGAACAGTACAAAAAGTATCCTACAGAAGCTCGTAATCGTCTAGAGCATGGCCAAACGAGTAGAGAGAGAGAGGTAACAATAAGAGGGGGGGGGGAAAAAGAAAGAAATTCATCCGGGCAAACGAGCGGGCAAGCGCGCAGCTCTGCATATAAATTACGTGGGGATTATCATCTCCGCGCGACGAGCGCTTTGATTTCGAGTCAGTCCAACTCTCCCTGGATACGGGGCGCGTTTGCACCCGCCCAACTCTCGTCTGTCGATTATGCCCCCACCCTACGCAAAACGTATACATATACATGTATACATGCGTGGGTACATACAAAAAGACACGGACGCGGGGCTAGCCCCGAACTGATGCATATTTATCATCTGATGCACGCACAAGACGTGCGTATCTATACACACGCGCCTGTATAGATACGGCTCAATGTCGACTTTGGTACAATGGAGCCCGTGCATGTATACCTATATGTACATATACGCACACCGTAGGCATTATTATACATGGGAACGCTTCGCCGTTTGCTGATTGAGTTTTCGTATGTGTATGGTTGCTGGAGAGGGGCGAGGAGGAGTTAATCGAATCTCTTGGTGGCAGGTTGTTCTGGTACGGCTCGCCGGGCACCGATCGCTTCCCGATCATATATATATAGTAGAGAACACACCTATACCTGTACACACATACACACGTGCACGGATCGTTATCGAGGCTGGCGGGGGAGAGAGACTAATTTGCTAGCTTCGGAATGCGAGACGCATCTTTTCGGCTGCACGTTATAATTGCGGATCGAGAAGATATAATGGGGGAGGGGCGCATTGTCGTGTCGTGTATGTGCTCTGCGTTGCGCTCTCGCGCTGATTGATAATCGTATACGTGGGTTGTACGTGTACGCGAAGAAGCGCGTAATGATAAAATAATCAACGAATATACGAGCCGAGGATCCATTGCTGATTGTCGTGTCGCATTGTATTCAGGTATACGGGGAGAAACGAGCGTGGCAGTGCGGGCTCTTTTCTATTAGCATTGCCGACGTTAACCAGCGACATCTCGGCGCGGCTCGGCAAAAAAATTATAAACGAGAGAGGAGTCGTCGTCGCTGTGGAAAAACGAGGGATAAAAGTAACGGAAAGGACGAGCGTGTGCGTGCGTGTGGAGAGAATGAAAAAACGGAGGAGAAAGAGCGGCAAAGTGAAAGCAAGAGAGAAAATCTCTAGCGCGATGAATATTAATCGCGCGATATCGGTTGCGTTTTTGCATAAATCTGCATGGGCGAGCTCTTCCTCTCTCTCTCTCTCTCTCTTTTCTACTGTATTTCTCTCTTATTGTAGTCATGGGGACCGAAAGGACGATCGATAGGTTGGCACGGGAGACGTGTACATTAATTTTAATACAACGTGACTATTATTCATTTGTTGCTCTTTTTTCTGCGAGACGTTGCTTTTGTTGTTTTTTTTTTTTCCCTCGAGTAGCCGAGTATACGATTTTTATTTTTGAGTTTCGTCAATTGTGTTGAACGGAAAGTGTATAGCTTAGACTGAGTTTTGAGCTGATCTTCCAGAACATGTGTAAAAATATTCTTTTGGTTAATGAAACGCACGTAAAACAAATGGATTTTTCAATTCCACCCCATAAAAAGCCTCTTTATCGAGCACAACATCATCCTGCAAACATTTATCTAATCCACCCTCGCTAAACACTCCGTTGTGGCAACTAATTAACTATTCTCGATGCGACGGTGTGCAACTAATCCTCCAAATTTTCCAAACGCCTAATCATCAGCCAATTAAATTTGATTGACGCCCAACAGCTCCCATGAACCCTGCGTGTAAACCCATCAATCCGAATTGTTTACGTACGACGCGTCGCTAACAAAAAAAAAAAAAAAAAAAAAAAAAAAAAAAAAAAAAAAAAAAAGTGAGAAGTAAAAATAACGTCATTATTTTCGTCTCACCTCCTCCAAGTCCTCGGATGAAAATGGAGACGAAGAAGAATAAAACAACAACAGGCTAACGACACCCGCGTGCACGTAAGGCTCTCCCCCCTGCCCACGCATTAAACATGCAGCATCTCGTTATACGTGTCATAGGCGTATGTGTATACATGTGTATGGGTGTGGCCGTAGCACGGGCTTAGACATCATACCTTCGAGAATACACATCCATCAAAGTGAGAGACGCCGTAAACTCGAGTGGCGCAACAACGCCCACTGTCACCGCGTGTGTACACATAAACACACGTCCCCCCCTCGCGCTAACGTATACAACATCAGGGAAGGGGGGCGGAGGTGCTTCGATTTTTTTTCCACCCTCATACATATATTTGTACAAAACTGGAGTGAGTGGGGGGGGGAGGATAGGTTGGGGTTGAATTTCGGATGAACAGAAAAGGGGGTGAGAGAGAGTTGAACGGATGTCATCGCACCGATTAATAAACACCTCTCACGGGAGAGAGAGTGAGCGTGCGAGCATTGTCCTCTTGGTTTTCTCTCTTGCTTGTCGGGGTGAATTTTATTTTTTTTAATTTTTTTTCCAGAGGAGGGGGGGACTTGACAGCATGCTCGAGTGCAAGAGCAGTACACGGTGTACACGTATCGAATTAGCGGTTCTGCTTGTGTACGTACACTTACCCAGAAGTAAAAGTGTAGTCTTTTTTTCGGGTGGGGGTTGGTCAGAGGGCTCTCGATGTGTTGTGGGTATTTTCCTGGGGTCCGTGCCCATACGTGGATTTGGGGTGATTTCTTTTCATTATTTTGGTGTTTGAATAGGGTCCTAGGGTACTTTGGGTTTTATTAGGAAAAAAAAGGAAAGCGAATAACGCAATATTACGTTCATTTTTCCGAGAAGTAGATCATGGAAATTTGATCAAAGTTTCGTACTTCCCTAGACAATATACGAATGCGATGTATACACATTTCGAGCTAATACTCGTAAATACCCAAATATATGAAAGTTTGTTCATTCCCTTATGCCCTAGGCGTTTCACTACCCGTACTTTTATTTGGTTTTTCATCCATTTTTCTCGCAATAATGTCTTTGTTGACTCGTAGTTTGTGCTCGCAGAAAAAAAAAAAAGTAGTAAATGAATAACGAAAAAGGTCGTAAAAATTCTGCCTAACAAAGGAATCGTAAAAGCCATCTCTTCGTAAAACTCGAGCCAGCCTGGAGTGTACATCTTTTTTTTTCTCTTGCAAAACTTTCAACGTTAAACCGTTTCGGGAAGATTATTTATTGAATGCACCGTGAGAGTGTCGGGGTGGGAAATAAAAGGTTATTAAAAAAGTAATTGAAGCCATTCATGAATGATGCGCATTTCTGAAATATATAGTACTCAAACGTGCAATGTATCATTATCTATGACGAATGAGTTGAATTTCTCGCGAAATAGTAGTAAAAGCTCACAATTTTGATTTATCATTCAATTCATTGTTATATTCATTCCAAGCATAGAAAGAAAGATGTATTGATCGATGCATGGATAAACGTGCCAATTGTGAACTGATACAATCAACATTATCCATCACAACTAAAAAAGATTATTGGTGGGCTTTATCAAGAAAATCCTCGAAAATTCCTCAGGGTGCCAAAACGTAAGTACTCTCCCTAAGACTTTTGATCCTGCAAAAACCAAAGGCCAGCTTGAAAAAAAAAAAAAAAAAAACCAGTTTCCACAACACGCCATAAGTATATACCTACTGATATACAAATCATCATAGAAAAAACGTACATTTATAGTTATACACGTAACCACGTACGCACGGACACTCAAAATTTTACGCATATCGGGTAAAAGAGATCCCTCGTGGATGTGTTAATTAAGCACTAACGAAGCCGCAGCCCGTTTGATCGCTTATTATTAAATTTTCCACCGGGAGGGCACGTTAAAATGAGGCCACCGGCTGTGCGTGCCTCTCTCCTCTGCGTCGAGCGAGTTCTCGTGTTTCACGA